ATCATAAATAATTAAAGCAACCAGTAAGTTCCTTGGGTCGTGTGGGGATTGGTGCTTGCTTTATTAATTAATAAATTTTATTATTTATTTAAACTCATAAGGCTGCTTATTGGCTCATTGGGTTATTGGGTTAAATAGCTTGGGATTAGTTTATTAAGTTATTGTGCACGTAATTGTGTCGAGTTATCTGGGTATTTGTTTGCACCACACTGCCAATTTGAATTTCCCACAAGTTTGCCAGTCACATTTGGGGAGAACCACTAGCCTCCTCCCCCCTCCTATTCAGCTTTTGCATTTTTCTCACTAGGATCTGTAGCTATATATAAGGCATAGTGATAAAAATGCAAAATCATATCCTCCTAACCCAACACTGCATTCAACAAACACATATTTTATTCGAAGACACACAATCAGAAATCTTCAAACTGATTATTTGCTGGGTTAAATAATGAAGTAGACTTGTTTGTTGAAGAGCAAAAAGACAAAAAAAATACGAGAAACTTATTTTACAGTGTGATTTAGGTACGTATTCAATTATTTATTTTTTAACATAGTCAGCGTCATCTAGCGGTCCATCACATCTTGTCTTTCAACTTTGTAGTAGAAATCTAGGAATCCTCTTATTGGTAAGACAGAAACTTATTAATCTCTCGAGCCAGTCGTCGGCAAGGCCGGACTTTTATTGATCCATATTGAATAAAAAAATATCCGCTAAATGGCGCTGCTCGATCTGCAAAATATATATGTATATATACAGCATCTATTGTAAAAATCACACACACTGTACATTTGCACCGCTCGCTCTGTTTCACTTACTCTTATGGCATTGGAAATAAAAATTTGTCAAACAAATAATTAGTACAAAATAAGATAACATAAAACTGAAAAAAGAAAAAAAACAAATCAATGGGAAATTTTCTGCTCCTGCATACACGAGTTCAGACCTCAGCTCCGGAGCAGAAAAACGCGCATAACCTTAAATCTGACACATCATTCTAATGTAAACAGAGTGAAAATAATATCTCTATGGTGTAAGTAAATGCCAGTGCAAACTGTCGCGAGTGCAGCGAGATAACGTTTTAAAAAATGGTTATTTACGGTGTTTACATTGTATCCAAATCCGGTGGTCTAATATTTAATCACGATCACAACGTACCGAAAGTCGAGGTCGAAAAACCATTTAATTTTCCGCTTGACATCAAACTTTCCTACGAAAACAAAAAAATAGTCGTATCTTTTGGCCAGAGAGATGGGATACACGGTATGCTGTTGTTTTTAACTAAATGTAGTTGATTAACTTTCATGAAAAACCTTGAGTTTATTAAAAAATGTTGATTCTTATTCGAATTGCAGTGGGTCACGTATTATCCGCTGTTAATGGTCTACCAGTGACTGGCAAAGAGCTAGACGATGGAAGAGACGTCCTGGAGATGCTCGAAAAGTCAGAAAACTTTCCCATTACTCTAAAGTTCAGTAGGTCGAAAATGACTACGAACGAGAAGATATTCCTGGCCTCAATGTTCTACCCACTCTTTGCCATTGCCAGCCAACTCAGCCCGGAGCCCAGGTGTTCAGGTATTGAAGTGCTCGAAGCAGATACATTCCGTTTATATTGTTATCAAACTTTGACTGGTGTTAAATTTATGATTGTTGCTGAGCCTTCCCAACCGGGCATGGAAATCTTATTGAAAAAAGTGTACGAACTTTATGCAGATTATGCATTGAAAAATCCATTTTATTCTCTTGAAATGCCTATCAGGTGTGAACTTTTTGAAACAAACTTACAAAGCTTGTTGGAAACTGTTGAAAAATCAGGTATAAGTAATGTATAAATACCAAGGGTATTGTAAATATGACGAGCAGTGCATAGTTTGATAAGAATTTTTATTTTACAAAAATATATGTATATATTATGTTGATGCTTACACCCATGAGTAGAATAATCATAAGGTTTATTTATGAAAAAAAGCAAGCTTCAACTTGTATGAAATGCATTTCTACAAATATGAAAAAAAAAATATATTTATATATATATTTATATATTTCAATCAATTGTTATGTTAATAAACATT